TGACAAACAAACAAACAAACAAACAAACAAACAGCAAATAGCAGAAAAAGAGTGCTTAAAGACATTCATGACCTCCAAGTGAGCACACCAAAAAATTTTCAAGGAACTCCTAGAAAGAGACAAGGTTAACAAAATCGAAAGGTCTAATAGAATGAATATACTAGGTAGGTCGAGCAGTTAAGTAGAAGGGAAAGAAAGGGAATCAGTAAGACGAAAATAATGCAATGACAGAAATAAATCAATTAACTTTCAGTAGAAGTGCTCAATGTGAATGGTTTCAACTCCCCATTCAAGATACGGTTTGGCAGAATGGATCAAGAAACAAAATCCAACAGTATGCTATATACAAGAAACACATTTAACACCCCCCATTCATAAGCTACAAATTAATTGGTGGAAAACAGTATTTCCTATGATGGGAACTTAACAACCAAGCAATAAACACACAAATCACATAAACAGATGATTGCAATAGATGCAGAAAAAGCCTTTGACAAATTCCAACATCCATTCATGATGAGGAGTCTGAAGGAAACAGGTATAAAATATTGCAATCTGATAAAATCCACTTTATGACAAATCTACTACCAACATGATACCACATGGGGGAAATGCTGAAAGCTTTTCTTCCCAGTCATACACAAGTCAAAAATGTCCACTATCTCCACTCCTGTTCAACACAGTACTAAGAATATCAGCCAGGTCAATCAAGTAAGACAAGGAAATAGAAGTGATGTATATATACGGATATATGAAAAGAATCAAATTACCATTATTTGCAGATGATATTATGCTCTCCATAGAAGACACAAAAAAATTCCACTGAAAGATTTTAGAACTGATAACCAAATTCAGTAATTTAGCTGGGTACAAAATCAGCACACAAAAATCACTAACGTTGTACACTAATAATAAATTTACTAAAAAAAAAATAAAAACAGAAAAAAATTAGGAAAATAACACCATCCATAATACTTCTAAGAAAATTAAAAACCTTGAGATTGACTAAACAAGAAAGTGAAAGATCTCTATAATGAAAACTAAAATGCTCTGAAAAAGGAAACTGAAGAGGACATCAGATAATGGAAAGATACTGCTGTTCCTGGATAGGTAGAATCAATATATTCAAAATAGCCATACTTCCAAAACTGATGCACAGATTTATTGCAATCTCAATTAAAATATCTATAGGATTCTCCACAAAACTATAAAAACAACTTTAAAATTCATATGAAACCAGAAGAGATCCAAAATAGCAAAAGCAATCCCAGGTAACATGAGCAAAACAGGAGATATCATAATTTCATAACTGAAGTTGTATTACAGAGCACAGTGATTTAAAAAACTCCTCAGCATATTATTGGCAAAAAGCACACATGTAGATGACTGGAACAGAATACAGGATGCAGAAACAACTTCACACACATTCAACCATCTGATCTTTCACAAAAGAGCCAAATATATACACTGGGGGAAAGACAGCCTCTTTAGCAAATGGTATCAGTGAAACTGGTTATTCCCATAGAAGATTGAATCTAAACACAAGAATCTCTCTATGTACTAAAATCAAAATGGGTCGAAGAACTAAATGTTAACACAGAACCTGCTAGAAGATAAAATAGATAAAACACTTGATAACACCAGCATAGGCAAAGACTTTCTGAACAGAACTCTAATAGCACAAGAAAAAGTACAATGAATCAATCTTATCAAATTAAAAAGCTTCTGCACAGGAAAGGAATAAGTCAGTCAGATGTGCTGCTGCACACCTGTAATCTTAGTACTTTGGAGGGTGAGACAAGAGGTCGCTGCAAGTTTGGGGTCTGCCTAGCCTACGTAGGGAGTTCAAGGGCAGCCTGGACTGCATAGCAAGACCCTGTCTTAAAAACAAAGAAACAAAAACATAACCCAAAGAGTGAAGACACAACCTACACAATGGTAAAAACTTTCACCTATTCCTCAGACAGATGAGTAGTATCTACAATATACAAAGAATTAAAAAAAAAAAATTACAACCCCCCGCCCGAAAGACCCAATCAAAAAATGGGCAACTGATACAAAACATTTCTCAAGAGCAGTACAAATGGCAAAAGAAAAAAGTTCAATATCTCTGGCAAGAAATTAAAATTAAAACACTGAAATATTCCATTGTACTCTAGAAAAATTGGCTATCTTCAAAAAAATCAATACCAAATGCTGGCTAGGCTGCAGGGAAAAAGGAACTCTTCTACACTGTTGGGAATGTAACCTAGTACAACTAGTATAGAAATCAGAATACAGAATCATCAAAAAATAATGCTAGAAATTCCTTTCGACCTACCTGTTCTCTTTCTAGGTATCTTCCTGGAAGAGTTAAAGACATAATATTACAGTAATATGTACAAACTGATGTTTATAACAGCACAATTCATAATACATGAATCTTAGAAGGGGCCACTATTTCCATCAACAGATGAATGAATAAACAAAGTGTGATATTTACACACAATGCAATACTACTGACATGAAGGATAAACCTGAGTCATTTGTAGGAAAACACCCTGTACCTTGAGACCATAAAGATAAATGAAATCAAACATAAAAGTGTAAAGATTGTATGGTTTTTCTTAAATGATAAACCTAACATAAAGAGTAAGATAAAAGATATATATAGGGAACAGGGGCATTTTTTCAAAATCAATTTTTTTTTTCAGACCAAGAGATAGAAGACGGGGGGAGGAAAGGGATGAGAAAATATTGAGTTGTGTTACCTACATGTATCAAGTCCCCAAGAGGGCACTGCATGGACTGCTTCTGTGTAACCAGTTTCTGTCCTCTTATTATCTGGTGTAGAATGTGGTCCTCTAAGGCCTTTCCCTCCTCTTCTGCAGGGTGTAAAGGCACACTGAAAGTTTCTTAGGTGCCCAAAGTGGTCAAGAAGTCTCAGGAGCTGCAACTGACTCACTGAGGACAGAGTACAGCTGAGAGAAAACAGATTTACCTGGGATAGGAACAAGTATAAATGAAGCCAGAAGCCAGAAGCCAGAAGCCAAACAAGTACCGGTGGCAAAGAGAAGCTGTGTGTACCTTTCCCAAGGCTGCCTCACCAAGTGTGCAATCTTCCAGTTTTGCATCTCAGAAGTCCAGAGTGGGTCTTACAGGATTAAAATCAAGGTGCTGTGTAAGCAGACTGAGTCCTTAGGCAGGATCCCCTTCCTACCACTCCTGGCTTTGAGAGGCTACACAGTCCTCTGGAACCTTGTCATCCCTAAATCAGCAATATCATACCACCCTGTCTTCTTTTCTTGCCACTTCTATCATGAAAAACCTCACAAAGAGTGCCACTTGGGAAATCTCCTCAAGGTGCCTAACAGAGTCCTACCTTGTAGGTTACATACTCACATCAGGAGCCTTTCTCTTCAATTACACTTCTTAAGGTGCCAAATCTAAGGTTTAAGGTTACTTTTTATTTCTGAAGGCAAATTCAGAGCTGTGACTCAACCAGGAAGGAAACTGGCATGGTGGTGGGGGCCAGACTGGAGCACATCAGGGTCTACCACCTCCCTCCCCATCCACACTGAGGAGGAAACAGATGCCATTCCTAGATCAAGCCATCTGGGTTGGGGGCAAAAAAGCAGTGGGCAAGGAGCACTCTTAAAGAGAAATATTTTCATCAAACAAAAACAACTGATACTCAAAGACAGAAAAACGGCACAGAAAGAAATTCAGCAAACCTAAAAATGGGTTTAATCCTTATAAGGCAAACTATGATCTGAAGATGATGGAAAAATCTGAGTTACTGATGAGAGTCTATCCTAAATATAACTATGTGCATTTTTCTGCTATTGTTAAAAATCAACAAAAACTGTTTTCTTCTTCTGATTCTCTCTGTTGCACATCCAACAAAAACAGTATTCCTGACCTTGGTGCAAGGGTGCTGGGTGAATAGCTGCAGCTAGCTGTGCGTGTGCAGGGAGCAAAGCGTTTGGTTAAGGTTTGCTGCTGTCCACCAGAGGGCTGGATGCACTCTACTTAGATGCTGCCCACTGGGGCACACTTACACAAGTCCCATCTTCTGCAGTGGTCCTTTCAAGCAGTCTGTCTAAGAATAATACTGTATAGACAACCCCTCACAAAACACCCCGCAGACAATACATTTTGTCAAAGAATGACACTGTATAGAAATTTGCCAGAAAAAGCACTGGAAGGTGTGAAACCTACCAAAGGGCTGGCCAGTGACCCCAGAGGAGTGGTGACAGGAATGTAGGCCGTGGGACACAGGAGTCACACAGAGCAGGCTTTGCACGTGAGCATCAAGTCATGCAATGGTGGGTCTGTTGTTTTAAAATAAAAGCCAGGAGACAGACAATAATATTGACTTACAAATTAATTTTCGTTTAGTTTTGTTTCAGTCCTATGAAAAATGTCCACTGTAATTAGGCTTAATTTCAAGTTGATATGGAATCCTAGTATCATTATTCCCACAAGTATTTGAAAATTTACTCTGCTTACATTCCCAAATAAATTGCTAGTCATAATTTGTGTGTACATGTGTTTAAAAATCTGTGTTCACTTGAAAACACAGCAATCCAGGGTTTCTCTACATAAGCCCCATGGATCTTCTTAGATTATTCTCTTGCAGGGCATTCTGTGCGTTGTAGGTGCTGTGTTCCTCTTGCTTCTGCCCACTGGATGGCAGAAGCATCTCAACTTGTCATGACAACTGCACTTGTCTCCAGATATTATCCCAGATAATTCAGAAGAAAGTGAACTGGGTGAGAGCTCAACCATAGCCCCAAGCCCAGCTGTCAAAATGTTCTTAACACCAAACTCTGGGGTTGTATCACTTAATGTGTTATACCTCTATTTCAAGAAAGACATGGGTGCTAGCTTCTAAGAACATACACTTGTGCATGAAAACATTATCTTAGTTCTGCCTCCAATGCACAGTACACAGCAGCCTCCGGGACCCCTCAGAGTACTGCTGCCCGCTGCCTGAGCCCTGCGCGGCGCTTGCTCACCTCTTTGTCCATACTCTCTAAGTCTTCCTTACAAAGAGTGTACAGCGGCATTGTCTCTGACATACTGGGCTGGCGCTTTCTTCTGGCAGGGCCAGGTTGCTCTCCATCTCGAGCATCGGGGAGCTCTTCACCAAACATCTGTTGCTGATGTGGCAGAACAGCTCTGAAAGGAATGTCATAGTCCCACATAAGGAAAGCAGTAGGATTGCGTGTTTCCACCTCTGCACGAGAGCCCTTACACTTGACCTGAGCCACGCATAGGAAGAATGTCCTCATAGAAAGACAGGACATTATGTGGGTGACACTCACCTGCTATCTCTGCTACGTTCAGCACACTGTGCCTCCTCCATGGGCCTGCTATGGGGTCTCATGGAAACTCACATTCACCTCCCTTCACAACAAACAGCCCTGTCTGTGGGGCATCTGCCTGACTCAATTCACTTTACAACAAGTGGAAAAAGAGAGCGATGTCTCCGAGAAATTGCCTAGAAGTATTACTTACCCTCAAGCAAAGTCATGGGAACCATAATACATTAAAGAAAACAAAACAGAAGCAACATTATATCCTGTCCAGGCAATAAAAGATCTCAGAAATGCAATGGTAACTTAAGAGACAAAGAGTGGAACTAACCCTTGCAGAGGCAGAAAGCTATGTTAAAATATTCACTGAGTATTAGTGAAATAGATCAGCTAACAAGGACCAAACCCACTTCAAGGATGCTTCTGATCTAGAACTACCAACATGCTTATGCTGTACCAATTTTCCTATTGTTAAAATGTCAATGCTATTTGAAACTTTTTTACTATATATGTACTTTGGTCTAGATATATCAATTCTGGGCCACTACAGGCACTAAAGACAAGGTAGAAAGCCCTCATCTTTAAAACTAAAAATGGGGACATTCATTCAAAGTTACAAAATTAAGAAGCAGGGCTGGGGAGATGGCTCAGTAGAATAAGCGCATCTCTGGCAAGTGCAAAGGTCTGAGTTCAATCCCTGGTTCTGCCAAGAAAAAAAAAAAAAAAAAAAGAAGCAATATTATTAGGTGAATCAAATGTTATAATGAAGATCAGATATTGTCCCAGAAATCTGAAAATGTTATGTACTTTTAATAAAGACTTCATATATCAACATTTCTGTCTTTATAAAATTTCACTTCATCACAAAAATTAACACAATGTATACGTCATCCATCCACACCAATATGGCCTACTCCCTGCTCCTAATACTCACTGCTCCAAAGACAAATGTAAAAACAACCCCCCCAAAAAAAACCTTATGTTTCTTCTTAATAAACACAAATATATATGGTTTCTTTTTAAAAAAAGGTAATAGTTTAACAACTGAAATGTCCAAACAAGAAAGCCCTCTCTATCAAAAGTGATCAGGACAGAGTTGATCTTCAAAGGCCCATGAAGCCGAGGCCAAGCTAAGACTCATGGCTACTATGGGGTCTGGCAGCATCAAGACCTCTTTAGGTAGACTGGCTACCAGGTCATGAGGACTGGCTTTTTCTTTACCTATAAAATTTTACAGATCAATCCACAAAATGAGGGCTCTCCATCCCCTCTGAGGGCATCTGCAAAGTTACTTCTCTTCCTGTGACACCAGGGGAAGGCTAGATTTCTTCCTGCACTTATACTACTCCAAGAGAACAAAGCATAGTGGGACAAATGTCAACCCAGAGACAGATGAAAAGAAGTATAGAATCAGCCATTCTTATTACATTTTTCATTTGGAATAGTTAAAAGAATTAATCAATGATGTCTTCAAGATCTTTCAGATAAAGCTGGTTTCACTCCATTTCAATTCACCAATACTCCCGCTGTGGGTTCAAGAGAAGGCCAAGGAGAAGAACATGGGAAACCTGAAGTACAGCTCTATGGGCAGTGACACGATCCCTCCTTCTTCTTGCATGGGCGTGACGGTGATAGAGTCAGCCCAGTGAAGCCAGAATTTTCATCACCCTCCAGTAGTAACGTGGACCCCCAAGCAAGAAACAATGACAGCCCCCGCCTCCAATCTCAGGTGTCAATAGAGGTCATGTCATAAGGGGATCCTGTACTTCCACCACTACCTGCAGAATATGGAGCTGCCTTTACTTCTGCTGCTACAGTGGAGTCACAAAGAATGAGTAAAGACAAAGATTAAATAAGATCCAGTGTCCCTTGACATAATAAGAAAGTGCCTAGGTTTTAATCCAAGTCACTGGTCATAAAGCAACTAGGAACATCTCAAACTGATAAGAAAGATAATCAGCAGAGGCTAATTTCAAGATTATCAAGTTATTTGAAAAAAATTTTAAAATATCCGTGATAAAAATGCTTCAGTAATCAATGACAAACATGCTTAAAATAGATTAAATGTCTCAACAAAGAAATATGATTTTTTTAAAAAATGTAAATCTTAGAACTTAAAAAAAATATTTTTAATGAATGGAAAGGATGGGCTTGACAGCAAAATGGAGAAATACTAGAATGTTACTAAATACAAATGAACTCATCTAGAGAGGAAAACAAGAATACAGCTTTGGGAATCTTGCATGATACTACTACACCAGCGGCGCTGTTGAGAATACAGCTTTGGGAACACGTGAGATAGCAAAGATTTGAACTTCCATGAAAGCAACAATGAACAACTGCTGGAAACATTCCAAACTTGGTAAAAGGGTTAAACCTTCTGATTTGAGAGCTGAGTGAATCCCAAACATAACTGACTCTTCAAATCCACATCATAATCAGACTTCTCATTACAAAAGGTTATCTTGTAATGACAGAAAAGCTGCCTTACGGTACAGGGGTAAAGGACTGGACAGGCAGCAGTTTCTCATCAAATCCATGGAGGTTGAGAAAGACTGGGTGCTTGCCATGAACTTAAAAGAAAAAAAACCTATCAACCTAGACTCTCCTAACAGGAAAATTTCCATTAGGAATTAAGGGGAGATGACACCTTCAGTTGAAGGAAACACAGAGAATGAGAGCCACCATTGGAACTACCTTGACGTTGTATGACAGAGCCTGAAGTGAGAGGGGGCCTACAGCCTGTTGGGACAGCAGTGCTAGGGCACAGGACTGTGACAAGCGATCTTGCTCGAAGGAGGTTTGCTCAATTATGGGTGATCACAGAACCTAAATTACAATAAATAAACCCAAAGCAAGCACAATGTGGAGCAGAAGTCAATGAAGTTGAAACAAGAAAATAGAGAAGTCAATAAAACTGACAACCCTTCAACAAGACTGACAGAAAAGAGGACACAGTTCCTGGTATCAGAATGAAGGAGGGGACTGAAGACAAGAAGACAGCCTAAGAAAGCAAGCAAGCACATCTGCCAAAACCCCAGTGTGAAGCAGATGACATGGACAGTCTCATCACTACCAAATCCAACAAAGATGTAATTTTTAAACTTCTCAAAGTGAAATCTCTAGCACCAGATGGTGTCACTAAAGAATTTTATCAAACACTTCAAGGGTAGCAACAGTTCTCTGAAGTCTCATCCAGGGAAGAGGAGGGAAATGGCACAACCCATATCATACCAGCATGAAAACTGGACGAGGACAAGGCAGAGTATGAGATCCACGCACTGATGGCTGATGTCAAAACACAAAACACATCAAGATTACCAGGTCCCACAACCTAGTGGGCTTCATTTCAAGGCTGCAAGGCTCTGTCAATATTTAAAAAAACAAAACAAAACAAAAAAACCCAAGGTAATACATAGTAACAGACTAAAGAAAAATATACTACCGTATCAGTGAATACACATAATCATTTAAAAAATCCAAATTTACTGGTGATAAGAGCTCAAAGAAGGCTGGGGAGATAGCTCAGTCATCTAAGCACCTGCCTGGCAAGCACCAGGACCTGGATTCAATCACTGGTACTGCATGCTGTGCCAGCCCCAGAACCTTAGGTGCTCCATGCCAGCCGCTGGGAGTGGTGGCGTGCACCTATGGTCCCAGCACTGGGGAGACTGAGACAGGAGGATCACTATGAGTACAAGCTGCATAGTGAGACTCTGTACCAAATAAATAAACAAACTAATAAATAAATGATTAAAAAAAAAAGAACTCAGAGAAGAAAGGTCCTTCCCCACATTGACAAAGAGCATCTATAAAAACCTATAGTTCTCATCATATTAAAAATGAAAGGGGGGCCGGGGAGATGGCTCAGTGGAATAAGTGCTTCCCAGGAAAAGGCAAGGGCCTGAGTTCAATCCCCGGTTCCACCAAAAA